CGTACGTACGACGTTACGACGTACGTACGTACGTACGTACGGTACGTAGTCGAGTAGAGAGAGAGAGAGAGAGAGAGAGAGAGAGAGAGAGNAGAGGAGAGAGAGAGAGGGGTGCGGTCTCTGTTGAGATAGAGGCAGAGACGTAAAAAATTGACAGTAATTGAATCCCGGTTAAATTCAACTATAAGTTAGAATTACCGGGATTCAAATATTGGGGGATTATTTGAAGAGTAAAGTATATGATTCGACTCTTATCCCATTTAAAACTAATATAATTAAGATTATTATAGATTTTAGAGAAAATTTCATATAGACCTCTAATTCTTCATATTATTTCATGATAGATCCTCTTTTTGTTTTTCTTTCAAGAAGCATAAAGAAACCTTAAAGATTTCACCATATCCCTTCATCTCTTATTTCCCTCTTTTATTGACTTTTGACTATAAAAATTAACCACAACAATCTTTTTAAACCATTTCAACCCAAAAACTTTTTAACCATCATTTTATCGTTCCACTCATTGACAATGTTTTTGAGTTAAAATAGTATAAAAAGATTTATTGGGGCTAATTTTTATGGTCAAAAGTCAATAAAAGAGAGAAATAAAATATGAGGGGTACAGTAAAATCCTTAAAGATTTAATTATGTTGCTCAAAAGAAAAACGAAAGGAAGCTCTACTATGAAGTAACATAAAGAATTAGGGACCTATATGAAATTTTTCCTAATTCCATATTATCTTGAAATATTAGAATATTAGGGTGCTATCAAACAAACCCATGTTAGCGTATTTTTAGGATCTCAAAATTTTGGAGATGTGCCTTTTTTAACTTAATGACAAACTTTAAGCCAAAAAATAAAGGGTGCGGTTTGTATAGAGCCTAGGTTCTAAACAATCAAATTAGAGCCTACTTTTAAATAGTATCGACAAATATGCTTTCAATATTGGAAATGTTTGTGATAGCCTTAAAATATATTTTCATCTTTATTTTTAAAGTTTAAAGCTTAAAAAATAACGTAGAACGACAGATCTATGAAAACTTGAAAATCTTGAAAATTGACGGTCCAAAAATGCATTACAAAATACACAATTTCTAAAACTTGAAATCCATTTTTTTTTCTGATGTCCATGCGTTCAGATGTTGTGATGATCAATTTGAGGATATTTGAGCATCAAAACAACCTCTTCTAGTGAAATTTTTTAGGTAGGTTCAAATTTGATTGTTTAGAGCCTCGACACTATATAAACTTTTCCCAAAAATAAAAAGTACTCTCTACTGGCCTGAAAAAACTAATGTCCTAAAATTGAATGTACATTGTCTATTTTTTGGATAGATAAATCTAATTGTTAAGAAACTCAAACTCCATTTTTTATTTGTAAAATAATCATTTAGTGATTATTAAGTGGATTCCAATATTTTAAATCTAGAAGTCCTCTTAAGTAGCTTCTTCACCTATGAGAGTAAGTAGACAGTGGCAAAAGAGTAGTATACACACTCGGTTACGATGTGCTTCTTGATTACTTCCATTGAACGAATATTGTTACAAGAGGATTTTTCTTTCTTTTCTCTGCCATATCTGATCTTTGTACTTTCAGTTTGTGGATGATTAATGTGGCAAGCTTGTTGAAAACAATATTTTCGAGGTTGTCCAAAACACCTCACAACAATATTTGGCATTTACTGATAAAATCAGTGTACATATAGGTTTTTGGGCCAATTTATTTTCCTCGAGATACAAGGAAAATGAACTATAAATACTCTTGTTTGCAAAACTGCGATCTGCAAGCCACCAGAATGACCTTCTCTACGAGAGAGAGTGAGTGAGAGAGAAAGAGGGAGACACGGAGAAAATTATGAAAATTTTATCTATTAAACGAGATATTTGCATTGTTTATGTAGAGAGCACTGTTTCATACTCGTCCAATGCTTACTCGGAATCGGTCGAGTAACTCGTCCTCACCCTAAGGGCTTGTTTAATAACCAGAAGCAAGTTCGTGAACTGTAAATTGGAAGTTCCTCATGAACGGTAAATTAGAAGTTCCTGGTTTCTATATTTGATAACCTCTTTGGGAAGTTAAAAAGTTTCTGGTTTCTGTGTTTGATAAGCTCCTGGGAACTTAAGAAGTTTCTAGTTTCTGTGTTTGATAACCTTCTGGGAAGTTAAAGAAGTTATGAGTATCTCTATTGGATTAGCTTTAAGTAATAGGCAAGATGTAAAATGTTACGTAGATATTATTTAATTTTTATTAATTTGTAGAATATTATTTTTTGGGATACAATTGAAAGTAAAGTATGTTGAATTGAGAGAGATAGAGTTATGAGAGAGTTTTATTGATGAGTGAGAGAAGTGTCCTAAAGAGAGACAGGTGATGCACATTTGAAGATCAAATCATCAAAAAATACCATTTAGTGAAAAAAACATGGAAGAAAATATAGAGGGTGAAACAACTGCATAGGAATATATACATACAGAGAGAGAAAGTTACTTTCCTCTTACTTCCGAATGGTAGCATCAGATATTAACATACAACCTCTGCAAAACTCTAGAGTAACAGTTAGCAAAAATAATCCTATCATAATTCATAAACCCTAAAAAAATTTCATAAAAATCATAAATGCTAATCACGTTCTCTCCCATTTTTTCTTCAAACCCAAAGCTCAAAAGACGAACCATAGTCGGTACAAGCAACATTCACAATTCATGCATCCATATATAACCATATACAAAACCAGCCCATTCAACAATAACATGTAGTAGTTTAAACATACATAATTGAAAATGAAATAGAATAAACACAACATTCGTTGAGGACTTTAAATTTGTAGCCACAAAATAAGGTTCATATCATATGTAACAGGTTCATCTCAGATGTTGCATGAAAATGAAAAGACAAATACAAGAATAATAGCATTAATTATGCATAGGAAATACCAAATATCTCGTAATTGGGTCAGGTCAACCATTCCGGCATGTTGTACTGTCATTGGTTCATTAACTATTTGGTCTTATTCCTGTGATTCTTGTAGGTAACTAAACTATGTCCATGTCGGCGTCTCAAATTTGCTATGTTGTTGACATTTGCCATATATTTATCACACCATTGGAAGAATTTAGAATCATCCCCTGACACTGATCACATTTACCTTGCTTACATCAATAGAATAGTCTGTTTGGGTTGTCAATGGTACTATATATATATATATATATGTATATATATATATATAG